ACTCTGTGGTCACTCAGTGCCATGGTCACACTGGTCACTCAGCACCACGGTCACTCAGTGCCATGGTAACTCTGTGGTCACTCTGTGGTCACTCAGCACCATGGTCACTCAGTGCCACGGTCACTCTGTGGCACTCAGTGCCACGGTAACTCTGATCACTCAGTGCCACGGTCACTCTGTGGTCACTCTGTGGTCACTCAGCACCATGGTCACTCAGTGCCACGGTAACTCTGTGGTCACTCTGTGGTCACTCAGTGCCACGGTCACTCACCAGCCACCCCCGTGGGCCCCACAGTTTGACCACCCAGATCAAAAGAATCAGGTGTTGAGTAGCGACTTTTCCCGATTCCCATTTGGGTTGAAACCCCTCCAGAATGGTCAATCCCATTGTGGTTGAGGACGGATCGGTGCAGGGGGGCTCTGGGGGGGCTGTGGGTGGGGGTCTCCCGCAGCTCCCAGTGACCCCCAATCCTGTCCCCAGCACGCGCTCCGGCTCGCCGCCTTCGGCCAACTCCACAAAGTCCTGGGTATGGATCCCCTGCCCTCCAAAATGCCCAAGAAACCAAAGAACGAGAAYCCGGTCGATTATACCGGTATGTACCCCCCCAAAATCCCATCCCGAGGATTTTTGGGTGAAAAACAGGGGATTTAGGGGGTGTTGGTKCTCGTTCCCGCAGTTCAGATCCCGCCCAGCACCACGTACGCCGTCACCCCCATGAAGCGGCCGATGGAGGAGGATGGGGAAGAGAAATCCCCCAGCAAAAAGAAAAAGAAGATTCAGAAAAAAGGTATTGAGTTAACGAGAGGTAGGTACGGCCCGGGGAGGAAATCGGGGTGGAAACTGGGGGTGCAGGGCTTGGGGTTTTTGAGGGGGCTGTAATTGGGGGGTTACAGGGGGTGGTGGTTGATAAAATAACTTAAAAATGGGAGATTTGTGCTGGGTGRAGCCAAATCCAAGGAGGAAAAGATCAGGAGTTGTCTGGAATTGGAAAATACCACTGGGAGCTGGTGTGGGATCAGAAAATCCTGGTCTGAGACTGGAAAAGATGAATGGGAAATGGTCTGGAATTGGAAAAGATGAATGGAAAATGGTCTGGAATTGGAAAAGATGAATGGAAAATGGTCTGGAATGGGAAAATATTGATGGGAAATGGTCTGGAATGGGAAAA